CCACGTCCTCCTCCCCCAATAGAACCGTCAGCCCCCCCTCAAGACGTTAAGTGCACCAGCTTGCGTTCCACGGCCATATTGGTAAGTTGGCGCCCACCGCCGCCAGAAACTCACAACGGGGCCCTGGTGGGCTACAGCATCCACTACCGACCACTGAGCTCAGACGACCCAGAGCCCAAGGAGGTGAACAACATACCCCCGACCACTACTCAGATCCTTCTGGAAGCTTTGGAGAAGTGGACGGAGTACCGTGTCACCGCCGTGGCTTACACAGAGGTGGGACCAGGGCCCGAGAGCTCGCCCGTGGTCATCCGCACCGACGAAGACGGTAAGCACCGGCCAGCCGGGAACCCTGTGGGCTCCGGGCCCCCAAGGGAGCAGCCAGGTGTAGAACACAGGGTTGTTGGGTAGAAGTGGGGAGCCATGGGTGGAATTGTAACCAGAAAGATGGGGGGCAAGAATCCACAGGCAGAGCAGTGACTACAGGCAGAACAGGGCCACGGGCAGAGCCGGGATCCACAGGTAGAGCAGGCCCATGGGCAGAGCGAGGATCCACGGGCAGAGCAGGGGCCTTGGGCAGAGTGAGGGCCCACGGGCAGAGCGGGGGCCACGGGCAGAGCGGGGGCTACGGGCAGAGCGGTACCACAGGCAGAGTGAGGGCCATAGGAAGAGCAAGGGCCATGGGCAGAGCGAGGGCCTCGGGCAGAGCGAGGATCCATGGGCAGAGCAAGGGCCCACGGGCAGAGAGGGACCACAGGCAGAGTGAGGATCCATGGGCAGAGCAGGGACCACGGGCAGAGTGAGGATCCACGGGCAGAGCAGGGGCCACGGGCAGAGCGAGGGCCACGGGCAGAGCACAGATCCACAGGCAGAGTGGTGGGGCCTTGGGCAGAGCGAGGATCCACGGGCAGAGCGAGGGCCATGGGCAGAGCAAGGGCCCACGGGCAGAGAGGGACCACGGGCAGAGTGAGGATCCACGGGCAGAGCAGGGACCACGGGCAGAGCACGGATCCACGGGCAGAGCGGGACCATGGGCAGAGCAAGGGCCATGGGCAGGCAGAGCAAGGATCCACGGACAAAGCGAGGATCCACGGACAGAGCACGGATCCATGGGCAGAGCGAGGGCTACGGGCAGAGCGGGACCATGGGCAGAGCGAGGATCCACGGGCAGAGCGGGGGCCTTGGGCAGAGCGAGGATCCACAGGTAGAGCGAGGGCCACGGGCAGAGCGGGACCATGGGCAGAGCGAGGGTCCACGGGTAGAGTGAGGGGCTCAGGCAGAGCCCCCAGAGTTCAGCACTCTGTGTTTCCGGCATGCACGTAGTCCTGAGGCCCCTTCCCGAGCCTTGGTTGCACAAACCCCTCTTGCTACAGTCATGGAAGTGGGGTGGGCTTGTACCACTGGATCAGGAACTTGAGATGTAGAATCTTGGGGCCACCTAGAATGCGTGGCTTCCCGTGACCCCGAGTTCTCTTGCCTAGGGAGCAGGTTGGCTGCAGGGTGCTGGGAGTCGCCATCAGCCACCTCTGCTGACCGGCCACTTCTCTGTAAATGTTCCCATGGTGGCCTGTTCGCACCCAGATAGTTGGAAGCAGGAAAGTGAGGTGATGGGCCAGTGTGGGGTCACACGCTAGAAGTAAAGCTGTCTCTACCCAGCCTGTGGGTGTGGCTGTGGATGAGCACATGACCTGCATTCATGATCCTGTGGGCCTAGTGGACCGGGAGATGCTGGCGATGGGGACGTGCAGCTGGGCTTCCAAGTGCAGCCTAGCTCTGGCCTCAGTTTCCCCATGTATACAGTGAGATGAGAGCCCTAAGACCACGGAGGGGACGCTCACAGGTGGGGTCAGGGGTCCTCCAGTAGGGAACAGGGCTCAGGGACCTTGCTGGGTGTTTGTGCAAGGTGGTGTGCAGGACCTTGACCTGGTTGAGTGGGAGGCCAGAGGGGGCCTCAGCTTCCTGGGCCAGCAGCTGCTGGGCACCCTGGCCCTGGATAGGGCCGGGCACCCGGGTAACGGCCCCGCCGCCCCCTCCCATCCCGCCCAGTGCCCAGCGCGCCCCCGCGGAAGGTGGAGGCGGAAGCGCTGAACGCCACGGCTATCCGCGTGCTGTGGCGCTCACCCACGCCCGGCCGGCAGCACGGGCAGATCCGCGGCTACCAGGTCCATTACGTGTGCATGGAGGGTGCTGAGGCCCGCGGGCCACCGCGAATCAAGGACATCATGCTGGCTGATGCCCAGGTGGGCGTGTGCGGCAGGGTGGGCTGGGCACTGTCCCCTGTCCCCCTGCTCTCCTCACACCTTCCTCTCTTCTCTGCCACCGCCTCCCTCTCAGTGGGAGATGGATGATACGGCCGAATACGTGAGTAGTCACAGGGCAGCCCCCTTTGCACGCTGTGACCGAGGGTCTCCTCTTGGGTCCCCCACATGCCCTCCCATGGCCTCCGATGTCCCTGCCTACCTGTCATACTTGTCACCCACTGTCACCCACTGTCACTGCCCCCAGCATGTCCATGGGACACTTCGCAGCATACAGTGCCATTGTTGTGTGGCACTGGGCTTCACTGAGACTCCTCTGCCCTCCAGATCTGCCCAGGCATCTGTGGCGGGTCCCCTCACAGGATGTCACCCCCAGGACTCTGGAGGGCCATATGGGACCCAGGGAGGACACCCTGTCTCGTGCATCTGTGTTCCCACCCTACTACCAATGGGGGCTGCACAGCTCCCAGCCATGCATGTGCCATGTTGTGCATGTCCTGTGTGTGTGTGCCTTATATATGCATACCTGTAGACCAGTGGGCACAGGGGTATGTGTACGTGTGTGTGTGTGTGTGTGTGTGTGTGTGTGTGTGTGTGATGGGTGACGTAACTCTTAGCGTGCACATGCTGCCCCAGACCCCTTCTTTTTTATTGTTGTGTTTCTGAGCCTAGCCCTTACTTGGTAGCCCAGGTTGGCCTTGCACTCGTGACCTTCCTGCCTCTACCTCCCAAGTCTCTGGTTTAGATGTGTGTCCCCATGCCCAGCCACTCCTTACTGTTTCTTCAATGTGACTTGATTTTTAAGTCTGTAGAATGAGCATTTTAGAAATAGCTGGGCTTCAACTGGATTCCAAGTTCCAGACAGTGTAATTGTTGAATTGCCCAAGTTGGTACTGGGCATTTCCAACTGTCCAGGCAGGGTGCAGAGGGAGGACAGGGCTATGCAAGCCCCCAGCGCAATGAACACAGCCCTACAAAGGCCCCAGGGTAGAGGACAAAACTGTGCAAAAGTCCTGAGGCAGGACAGAGCCTGGCATGTTGGAGGGGCAGCAAGGAGGCCCCTGTAGGTGCAGAAGAGGGACTGAAGGGCCCAGAAGGAGGACATGGGCTGTGACCCTGAGGATGATGGGATCCACGAAGGGCAGAGGAGGGAGGTTCTGGTGCTCATGGGTGCTCCCTGGCAGCTGCTGCAGGGGAGGACCACGGAGTCCAGGTTGTGTGCTGGGAGAAGTGTGGGAGCACTGCATGCCTCAGCCCTGCATGAGCTCACAAGCATGCCTCTGCCTGTGGCCTGGGGCATCGTTTCTCTGGCTGGTCCCTCTCACAGGGAAGTGGGAAATGGGGCTGGCCCCATCACTGACCCCGAATCCCACCCACAGGAAATGGTGATCACAAACCTACAGCCTGAGACCGCATACTCCATCACAGTAGCCGCATACACCATGAAAGGCGATGGTGCTCGCAGCAAGCCCAAGGTGGTGGTGACCAAGGGAGCAGGTGAGACTCCCACTGTGCGTAACCCTTTGCCCCGTGAGGCCCAAGCAGCCCTCAGATTTCTCAAGCCTGTTCTTTCAGCGCTTGCATATGGAATGGCTGCTGAGAAGACACCAGGACCCAACCTGCCCCCACTGCTGACCTCAGCATTCAGTGCTTCCTCACACCTCAAGTTTCCTTGAGCCTGAACCTTAACCCCCTTGTCTCTGTCCTGATCTTTACTGTGCTCATGGCCTCTGCCTGACTCTCCCCATCCAGTCACCTTGCTGTTGCAGTATGGGAATCAGACAGCAAGATGCCCATAGCCTGTTGGCCACTCTACCCCACCCAGCAGCAGTCTATCCTCAAGCTCTCACGGGCTTTCTTCTTTCTTTATTTTATATGTATGAGTGTTTTGCCTGCATGTATGTAAGTGCACCCATGTCATGCTATGCCCATGGAGGTTAGAAAGAGCATTGAATCCCCTGGAACTGGAGTTACAGGCAGTTGTTAGTCGCCATGTGGGTGCTGGGAGCCGAACTCACATCCTCCACAAGAGCAGCCAGTGCTCTTAACCACTGAGCCAGTTTCCAGTCTCCTCCAAGTCTTTGCTTTAAAGCAAGTGCTTCCCAAAATGCACCTCAGGAGTTGGTGGAATAGTTCAAGGGTACAGTAAGCAGTCTACAATCCCCTAATGACGGCCCTGGGGACGTGGCTCAGAGGTAGAGTGATGGCCTAGACTCCCCAGTGAGGGGCTGGGGGCGTGGCTCAGGGTAGAGTGACAGCCTGGAGTCCCCAGTGAAGGGCTGGGGACGTGGCTCAGGCTAGAGTGACAGCCTAGAGTCCCCAGTGAGGCCTGGGGGTGTGGCTCGGGGTGAGCCGCTGCCTAGAATACCAAGGCCCTGTGCCCCATCCCCAGCTGCTGGAAACCTTTTCAATTCTGTCATCACTGTCAGGGCTGAGGCAGAAGGAATGGCTTGAGCCCAAGAGACAGAAAGACCCTGTGTGAGGTGACACTCCTTTTGTGTCTACACAGTCCTGACAGCCTGTTTCCCTGCAGTGCTGGGCCGCCCAACCCTGTCGGTGCAGCAGACCCCGGAGGGCAGCCTGCTGGCGCACTGGGAGCCCCCGGCCGGCTCCAGTGAGGACCCGGTGCTGGGGTACCGCCTGCAGTTCGGCCGTGAGGACTCGTCCCCACTGGCTACGCTGGAGTTCCCACCCTCCGAGAACCACTTCAGGGCCCCAGGCGTGCACAAGGGTGCCACCTACGTGTTTCGGCTGGCAGCTCGCGGTCGTGGAGGCCTGGGCGAGGAGGCGGCCGAGGTCCTGAGCATCCCCGAGGACACTCCCCGTGGGTACCCCCAGATCCTGGAGGCAGCTGGCAATGCGTCCATGGGCACCGTCCTTCTACGTTGGCTGCCACCTGTGCCTGCTGAGCGCAATGGTGCCATCATCAAGTACACTGTGGCGGTGCGTGAGGCCAGCGACCCAGGGCCCCCCAGAGAGACCGAGCTGCCCGCAGCTGCAGAACCTGGGGTTGAGAACGCACTCACGCTGCAGGGCCTCAAGCCTGATACGGCCTACGACCTGCAAGTGCGGGCACACACGCGCCGGGGCCCAGGGCCCTACAGCCCCCCTGTCCGCTACCGCACGTTCCTGCGGGACCAAGGTAGGCACGGCGACCCCGCACAGCCGGACGGGCCTCGAGCCCAGCCCCCGCCCCTCCCCCCGCAGGTAAGTGGTCACTTTTCTGCTTCCCTGGACGCTCAGACAAGTCCACACCCGAGGCTCCGGCGTTGCTACAGGTGGGACGTGGCTCGGTGGCTGTGCCGCCATCCCCACCCTCGGCCGTCCTCCGCCTTCTCTTCGCAGCTGCGCCGTCTCCCCACCACAGGGACACGGGGCAGGGCAGGCAGGGCCGGGCCAGGCCAGGCAGGAAGGCCACGGGCACAGCGGACAGCAGGGAGCGCCCGGGCCGCCCACCCCGGCCCCCTCCCTGCACCCAGCACTCATTACTGCCTTCTCTTCTCTCTCCTTGCCCACCCCGCCTCAGTCTCCCCCAAGAACTTCAAAGTGAAGATGATTATGAAGACATCGGTGCTGCTGAGCTGGGAGATGCCCGACAACTACAACTCACCCACGCCCTACAAGGTGCAACCTCTGGGGTGTGACCAGGGTTCAGTCAGAGAAGGGATCAGGCTGGGATCAGGGCTCAGTCAGAATTATGATTCTGGTGACTAGAAATCAGGGAGTCAGTGCTGTTTGGACTTAAGAATCAGAGTTCAGTCTGGGATCAGGGCTCAGTCACAGATGGGCTCAGCTGGGAATGAGTCTGTATCAGGGGTTATGCTCAGAAAGGAAAGATAGGGCTCTGTCTGGGATCAGGGCTCAGCTGGAGTTTAGTTGTGGACTGAGCTCCGCACCCCCTGGGCCCCCTGCTGCCCATGGATTCTAATACCAGCTGACCCCGTGCTCACTGACCCCGCTACTGGCAGATCCAGTACAACGGACTGACATTGGACGTGGATGGCCGCTCCACCAAGAAGCTGATCACGCATCTCAAGCCTCATACCTTTTACAACTTTGTGCTCACCAACCGCGGCAGCAGCCTGGGCGGCCTTCAGCAGACAGTCACAGCCAGAACGGCCTTCAATGTGCTGAGCAGCAAACCCAGCGTTGCCCCTAAGCCTGACAACGACGGCTTCATTGTGGTCTACCTGCCCGACGGCCAGAGCCCCGTGCCCGTGCAGTACGCTCCCCCGCCTCCCTGGCTCCTGTCTATTCTCTGTGTGACCCCCATGGGCTGTCACCTCTCTTTGCCAACCTGCATGGTAGAGATGGCAGCTGCCCCTTCACGAGACTGCCCACAGGCCAACCATCCACTAGGCAACCCTGGGCCCCTGAGAATTCAGTTCTGGGTATCCAGGTTGTTGGTGAGCCCTAAGTACGATCCCCGTGAAGGAGTGGTGGGAAGCCAAGGAATTGATGCTGGGCATGGGGTCCCCGTGGCTGCAGTGCAGGGGTAGGTGGTCAGCAGAGCCCTCCCGCAGGAACTACTTCATCGTCATGGTCCCTCTGCGCAAGTCTCGTGGCGGCCAGTTCCCAACCCTGCTGGGCAGCCCAGAGGACATGGATCTGGAGGAGGTGAGTGAGCCCACCACACCCATGCTAGCGAGGTGTGGCCACTGTCACCACTGCTGAGCCACCCACGCCTCTGTCTGCAGCTCATCCAGGACGTCTCCCGACTGCAGAGGCGCAGCCTGCGTCACTCACGCCAGCTGGAGGTGCCGCGGCCCTACATCGCTGCTCGCTTCTCCGCCCTGCCCACCGTCTTCCATCCCGGCAACCAGAAGCAATACGGAGGCTTCGACAACCGTGGCTTGGAGCCCGGCCACCGCTACGTGCTCTTTGTACTGGCCGTGTTGCAGAAGACAGAGCCAGTAAGTCCTGTGTGGTATCTGCCCACATCCCAGTCAGGCCTTGGTGGGACAGAGCTGTGCTGGACTCCCACTGTCACTGCTCTGCAGTTGGCCACTGAGGTCAAGAAAGCCACTCCCTGTGTCCATGTCCAGGCCAACTCTGAATTAGTCTCCTGGGCTCCCATCAGTCAGGCCTGGAAGGGGCAGGAAGGACACAGAGGGAGTCCCAAGGGTTCGTCCTCGGAGGTAGGGGCTCAGTGCTGGGGCTTTGCAGGGCAAATAGGATATTCAAGGAGCAGCATGAGCATCGAGTCAGGAGCCAGACCAGCCAGGTTTGGGGTTCACCTAAGGTCAGGGTTCACCAGGGCTTGGCGTTCTCCAGCACCTCACAGGGTTTAGCTGGGGGAGTACGAGCCGGCACTGACACGGCTCTCTGGTCATCACAGACGTTTGCGGCCAGTCCCTTCTCAGATGCCTTCCAGCTGGACAACCCTGACCCACAGCCCATTGTGGATGGGGAGGAAGGCCTCATCTGGGTGATCGGTCCCGTGCTGGCCGTGGTCTTCATCATCTGCATCGTCATCGCCATTCTCCTCTACAAGAAGTGAGGCCCAAGACAGGGAGGGCCGTGGGGACAGGGCAGAGAGGTCCCAGTGAGGGCGCTGGCCACACAATGGGGAGCTCAGCCCCAGGGAGCAGGAGGGGCAGGGCCGTGTGCCCCATTTGCTGACCTGGGGATCAAGCTACTTAGGGACCAAGACGCCCTCCCCAGAGGGCACCGAGGCTGAGTCTTTGGAACAGCACCCCAACACGGAGGGGAGCCCCTTTCCAGAGATGAGGTTCAGGAAGGCTAAGGAACCCCCCAGAGTCACAGGCTGGCCCCTGACAGCACCTCACATGTTCCTTCCCTCCACGTGCATCCGGATGGGGACAGCAAACCTGACAGGTGAGAACTAGCCCTGTGACCAGAGGTGAGGGAGGGTGGGGGTGGGGGTGGGGGCCTGAGCCTGTGTACACAGCCTGGGATGGGGCTCAGTCTTAGATCAAGGCTTATTGTGATTGAGGCTCAGTAAAATTAGGATAGTGTGTAAACACCACTTTTCTGGGGCACATTCAGTTGGTGGATTGTGTGTGTGTGTGTGTGTGTGTGTGTGTGTGTGTGTGTGTGTGTGTGTGCGTGTGTGTGTGTGTGTGCACGCACGCTCACTGGCTGTCCCTTCTCTCCCCGTGAAGGAAACGTAAGGACTCTGAGCCCCGCACCAAGTGCCTGCTGAACAATGCGGACCTCGCCCCCCATCACCCCAAGGACCCTGTGGAGATGAGGCGGATCCACTTCCAGACCCCAGGTACACGCTAAACCCGCGCCCAACACAACCTGGTCAGTGGGCACCCGGAGGGAAGAGGCCACCATGCACTGGCCCTTGCTTACACCCCAAATATGCAGCCACATGAGACCTCTTGTTTCCAAGTGTTCCCCACCACCCGAGGCCTAGGTGGGACCACCCAGTTCTTGTAGTTAAAGATAAGCTGACTAGTCTCTTACAAGAGCCTAAGTGAGAAAAAGAAATAAAGACCCTGATTTGGACGGGAAGAGCCATTTACACCCCAACTGTGGCAGGGGATCAGGTTGGGGGTCGCTCCGGCCGTTTTCCTACGCTGGCATTGGGAAGGGTCCCTGCTGAACCTCGTGGGCCCTTCTCTCTACCTCTGCCCACTGTGGCTGCTGTAGCTGCCGTAAATTAAAGCCTCTGGCCCTGTACGGTACAAACACCCCATCAGGGTCTTGTCCGTGGTCCCGGACTCCCCAGTCCTCACCCTGGGCCCATGGCAGCTGCTTCTGACTAGAGAACACATTTCATATTTGACTGCTCCTGGCAGGCTGACCTGTCCCTCAGCTCACTCGTGCTGACAGTGTCCACCTCTTGGGGCGCTTTCCAACATGTGTTTAACTGGTGGCTGCATCCTCCTTCAGGGATCATGCACAACATGGCTCCTCCTGACATGTCCTCTCTCTCTCTGATCTGCTATGGCTTTTCCTCAAAATGATCCCGACCATCTGTACTTGTGACTGCACCGCCTCTGTCACCCCTGCGTCCCACCCTCTTCTCACTCCCCCGGCTCCTGTCACCAGCTGCGTTTAACCAGTAGCTATGTCCTGCCTCATCCATCTCTTCTAAGATCTCTCTCTCTTTCTCTCTCTCTCTCCCTCTCTCCCTCCCTCCCTCCCCCAAGGCAGGGTTAAAAGGAAAATGATAGGCCCTGGGTCTGAGCACACAGCTCTGGATTACTTTACAATAGTGTTTCTTTGCTCTGGATGCTCACCCCCCACCAGGTTCCTGGGCTCATCTGTCATCTGATGTTGGCTCTGGCCCAGCTCATAGCAGTCACTTACACACAAGTGAGAGTGCCTACATCTCACTGGTAGCTTCTGTCCTCCTTAACACTCACAGCACAGTTCATACGCCCCTCCCTTGACCCTCTTTGCCCCGCACCATCCAGTGTGGTCCCCCTGCCTCAACAAGGCACCTGAGGCCTGGCCAGTGTGGGTCGGATGAGGGCAGCAGGGCAGACAGGAGCCTGAGTCTGTGAGGTCACACCTGAATTCATCTGCAGGAACAGCACTGGCCAGTTGTCCAGAGCACATGTCACCCAGCAGTTCCTGGGGGACCTCGTGTCCCCTCCTCCCTGCATCTCTGGCCAGTGAGGGGCGGGGACCGCCCTGCGTGTTCTCATGTATTTATTGTTTGCTGTCTCTGCAGATTTGGGCGTCTGCCGCCCCCTCAGGGAGCTGGGGTATCACTCGGAAAGTTAGTTCCCGTCTCTGTTCTTGGCTCCCTTTCGCCCCCTGTCTGTCATCTTTGGTTTCTGCACCCCGCCTCCTGCCCACGTGCGTTCTGCGCTGCCCACCCGCCTAGCCCACACCTTAAGGCGGGCAGGGTCTGATCCACTGGGCCTGGGAGGCAGGGTGCACTGTGTGTGCTGAGCGTGCGTGCGCGTGCTTGTGGCTGGGCTGTGGGTGACACTGACGTGGGAACCCCCCAGCAGCCCGAACAGCCCTTAGACAGGGAATCTCTGGGGAACCCCAGGAGTTAGGATCCAGGCTCCATCTGGGATGGGGACTCACAGGCTCCCAGGTACAGATTGGGGCGCTCTGGATTTCTGTCCCAGGATGGGGTCCACAGCCCCTTCAGGGACTGCCAGGGGCAGGATAGGTGGAAACCAAGGACAGATAGCTCCCTACATGCACACAGCACAACCTCGGTCCCTCAGAACCCCATGTCAGATGGGCCCAGCCTGTGCACCCCGGGGACCATGTTCTGGTTGCACCACGCTGGCTGCACCCGCTTTTCCATCTCTGCTGCCTGCTTTCTGCCACAAGGCACTGGGATATGGAACCCCCAGGTTGGGGAGCAGAACAGGGTGACCTCACATCCCCACCCATCCAGCTGGGGACTGTGGGTGTCACCCTGCTGAGCCCTCCCATCACGCCTTCTAACTGCAGCCCATCCATGGCCAACTCACTCTGAGCCCAGGCCCCGTGACCCCCGCTGACCCTCCCACGTGGCCCTGCTGTCCCCACAGGCATGCTCAGCCACCCGCCCATCCCCATCGCCGACATGGTGGAGCATACAGACAGACTCAAAGCCAACGATAGCCTCAAGCTCTCCCAGGAGTACGAGGTAAGCACTTTCACTGTGCTGCCCTTTGCCCTGACCCCCAGCATAGCCTCGCACCCCGACATTGTTTGGATCCCCATCATCACCCTGATACTCAACATTGCCCTGACACCCCGTGTCGACCCGATCCCTGGCTGCCTCTGCAGTCCATCGACCCTGGGCAGCAGTTCACATGGGAGCACTCGAACCTGGAGGTGAACAAGCCTAAAAACCGCTACGCCAACGTCATTGCCTACGACCACTCCCGCGTCATCCTGCAGCCCCTGGAAGGTAGCGTGGGCGTCCCCAGAGGATCTGACTGGTGGCTGCTGTCAGATCACAGGGCTCTGTAGCAGCTGTCCTATCATGTGGCTTCCAGTCTGGCCAGCCGCATTCCCCAAGGTTCAGCTCTTGCTTGTCACACTCTGGGCAACAATGGTGTCACAGTGGGTGGTCCATATGCCATTGCTTGGCCAGCGTGGCATCGGGTGGCTAGGGTAGCATTGGGCAGGTGGCAGATAGGAGACTCTTGCTCCACACAGTGGATCCTGTAGAGAAGATCTGTCCCTCAGTGGCCACAGAGCCAGTGTAGAATAGCCACCTTAGACCAGGGCCACCATGACTGTGGTGATCAATTGGGTGGTCACAGGATGGGGGCCCTGCAAAGCCAGGCTTTGGTGACAGGCCCACAACTCTCCTGGCTGCAGGCATTGTGGGCAGCGATTACATCAATGCCAACTACGTAGACGGCTACCGCCGGCAGAACGCCTACATCGCCACACAGGGCCCTCTGCCAGAGACTTTCGGGGACTTCTGGCGCATGGTGTGGGAGCAGCGGTCGGCCACGGTAGTCATGATGACGCGACTGGAGGAGAAATCCCGGGTGAGGCGGTGAGGGAGGCCTGGCCCTGCAGTACCCAAGGCCCTGTTGCCCGTGTCCCTGACTCACACTGCCCTCACTGATACAGATCAAGTGTGACCAATACTGGCCAAGCCGCGGCAGCGAGACATACGGCTTCATTCAGGTGGCCCTGCTGGACACCATCGAGCTGGCCACCTTCTGCGTCAGGACCTTCTCCCTCCACAAGGTGCCACCAGCTGCTCGGCACCAGGGTGCGGGGGACATTGGCACGAGAGAAGTGGGGGGGGCACGATGTGGGGCTGCAGGCACAAGGGGGGATGCCAGGGGGCGCAGGGAACAGGGCACAGGCACTGGGGGATGAGTGCTCAGCTGCACAGGTTTCAGAACCCATGCCATGGGGGAGAAACAGAGGCACAGGCCTCCCCCATGTGAGTAGTGTAGCAGGGTGAAACCAGCGCAGACCAGCCCAGCAGCAACCTGTTCCTCTGCCACCCGGGGCATCCCTAATGCCAGACAGAGCCGCAAGCAGGGTCGCGTTGGAGGTGCCCTTAGTGCTGTGGGCAGAGGGAGGCGCTCTGGAGCTGGAGCTGGCACTGCCGGACAGGTAAACGTGCTGCAACCACCATGCAGACTCAGAACCTCCGTGGAAGGACTGACAGACTGGACTGCACAGCTGGCAGCATTAGCTCACATGTTGGGTGTTGGGAGGGAATTGGGGCTGAGGTGACCCCAAGTCCTGGCCAGCACTCAGTGGAGCATAGCCACCATCTGCAGAGAACAGGATGTGAGGGTGGGCCCGTAACGCCTTCTCTGAACGTGGGCGGAGACCCAGGGCTATGCGTTCTCCCCTGCGAGGTCAGCCCCTGTGGAGCCTGCGGTGACAGATAAATCCCTCGGGTCCCCAGAATGGCTCCAGCGAGAAGCGCGAGGTCCGCCACTTCCAGTTCACCGCGTGGCCCGACCATGGCGTGCCCGAGTACCCCACACCCTTTCTGGCCTTCCTGCGGAGGGTCAAGACCTGCAACCCACCCGACGCCGGTCCCATCGTGGTCCACTGCAGGTGCGCTACCCCTGTGCCTGTCTCTCTCCCTCCCCCAGCCTAGCTGCATCTCTGACCTCCACCTATCCCAACAGCGCTGGTGTGGGACGCACTGGCTGTTTTATTGTCATCGACGCCATGCTGGAGCGGATCAAACCTGAGAAGACGGTGGACGTGTATGGACACGTGACGCTCATGCGCTCACAACGGAACTACATGGTGCAGACAGAGGACCAGTACAGCTTCATCCATGAAGCACTGCTAGAGGCCGTGGGCTGTGGAAACACCGAGGTGCCTGCACGCAGCCTCTACAGCTACATCCAGAAGCTGGCACAGGTGGAGCCTGGCGAACACGTCACTGGCATGGAGCTGGAATTCAAGGTGGCTGCAGGGGTCTAGAAGAATAGAGGATGGGGCAGCATTGAGCCATGGAGAGCAGAACATGGCAGTGGGGCTGGTGAGAGGGCTTCCCGAGTAAAGGGGCTTGCAGCCAAGCATAACCACCTGAGTTTAATTCAGGACCATGTGGCAAAAGGAGAGAATTGACTCCCATAAGTTGTCCTCTGACTTCCCCATGTGCACACACAAATCAGCAAATGGGAAAGAACGTTGGTGGTGGTCATTCCTCCCTCCGGCTGGGCTCTGGCTTGAGCAAAGCCACGTTCTCATGGCTTTTCCCACCTCCCGATCGATCCCTGCAGCGGCTCGCCAACTCCAAAGCTCACACGTCACGCTTTGTCACTGCCAACCTTCCTTGTAACAAGTTCAAGAACCGGCTGGTTAACATCATGCCGTACGAGAGCACTCGTGTCTGCCTGCAGCCCATCCGCGGTGTGGAGGGCTCCGACTACATCAATGCCAGCTTCATCGATGGCTACAGGTACCACAGCCCAGCCTCAGGCCCTGACAGGAGGTACAGGGCTGCAGAAGTTCCCTCCCGCCCTTCAGGGGCCTTGGTGTGGTGGGAGACGGTGAAACATGGGCCAGCAGGGAAGGAGTCGGGCTGGGTTTACCTGACAGCCGTGCACACAGTTCCCATCTCAGAGCTCTGGGGTTGGAATGTCAGTTTGGGTTTTCCAGGATGTTTGTGGCCTCTGCAACCTTTTTACACCCCCTTTGGTGCTAGAACAGAAGCTGAGGCCTCAGACGCTCTGGGCAGACACTCACATCACACCATGCCAGCCCTGGGTTCTAGAGACTCAGTTTTTTTCTGCGGCCCAGACTGGTCTCAATCTGTGATCAACCTGCTGGTGGCTGTGTGCTGCTGTGCCCATCACCTATTGTGGTCACTCCTGTTTTTTGTTGTTTTGGATTTTTGGAGGGGTTGTTTTGTTTTGTTTTGTTTTTTTGAGACAAGGTCTCCCTGTAACCCCAGCTGGCCTGGAACTCACTATGTAGACCACAGGCCTCGCTGTCACGGAGATCTGCCTGCCTCTGCCTCCCAAGTGCTCGAATTGAACGTGTATGCCACCAGGCTCAGCACCATGTCAGGCACATTTGGTTGGTTTTATGCGTGTGCAGAGGCCACAGACCTTAAGTGTCACTCATTCCTCCACCTCATGCACCCCGATTTCCGTGACAGCATCATACAATGGCCTGGTACTCACTGAGTGGGCTGAGCTGTGTGACCAGTGAGCGCCAGGGTGCCTTCTGTCTCCACAAGCCCAACCCACCACACCCTGCTTTTCAGTGGGTTCTGAGGATTTGAACTTCCATCCTCAGGCCTGTGTGTGAGGGTTAACCCCAAGCTGCTCCAAGCCCCATGCCTGCACTTGCCTGGGGTGGTCTGAGCCAGGGAGGGTCCCCAGGCAGAGGCCACTATCTGTGCAAAGACCCTGGGGTACGGAGATGGCCTGGCCTGACCCCCTCTTTCCACAGGCAACAGAAAGCCTACATTGCAACACAGGGGCCACTGGCAGAAACCACGGAGGACTTCTGGCGCATGTTGTGGGAAAACAACTCTACAATTGTCGTGATGCTGACCAAACTGCGCGAGATGGGTCGGGTGAGTGGCTGCCTGGTGGGGTGTGGGGGTGAGGGAGGGTGCCAGGGCCCCGGGCAATGCTGACCACTGCCGTGCATTCAAACAGGAGAAATGCCACCAGTACTGGCCAGCTGAGCGCTCTGCCCGTTACCAGTATTTTGTGGTGGACCCGATGGCTGAGTACAGCATGCCCCAGTATATCCTGCGCGAGTTCAAGGTCACAGATGCCCGGGTGAGTGTGGGACAGGACGAGTACACACCCTCATACAAGTACAAGCGTGAGAACCTGAGTTCAAATCCTCCAGGCTGTGTGAAAACCTGGATGTGAATCTGCCATGCTGGTGCAGGAAGATGGCACCAGGATTAAGGGTGGAAGACATCACAGTGTCTGGGGCCAAGACAGAGATGAAGGCTTGTTTAGGGGTAGTCAGGGTGGTGGGGACTCTTGACAGTGTTGGGCGTTCAGCACACCCTGGTGACGGGGCTGGACACACAGATGGAGAGAAGGCAGCCTCCATCGGGGATGGCGCCACTGATGGCAATCAGCATGTGGTGTGTCACCGTGGAGGCGGTGCCGTTAATAGACATGGGGGCAGGCGGCACAGGGCTGGGTCGGGTGACGACACAGCGCTGTCCGACCGTGGCGGACAGACTCGGCAGCACCTGCTCCTCCCTCCCAGGACGGCCAGTCGCGCACGGTACGGCAGTTTCAGTTCACAGACTGGCCGGAGCAGGGCGTCCCCAAGTCAGGAGAGGGCTTCATCGACTTCATCGGCCAGGTGCACAAGACCAAGGAACAGTTTGGCCAGGACGGGCCCATCTCCGTCCACTGCAGGTGAGCACGGAGGCCCCGGGCACTCAAGCGAGCCCCCGCTGGGCAGAGGGACAGGGCCGCAGCACCTACTGCTGTCACCCGCAGCGCCGGTGTGGGCAGGACGGGCGTCTTCGTCACACTGAGCATCGTGCTGGAGCGAATGCGCTACGAGGGCGTAGTGGACATATTCCAGACCGTGAAGATGTTGCGCACACAGAGGCCAGCCATGGTGCAGACAGAGGTATCCTCGGCGTCCTCCGGTGGGCAGGGAGGGGAGGCCCTCGGCCTGCCACCCTGTCTTGTTTCTCTCTCTGTAAGACACATACCCGAGCCATCACAGCTATGTCTGGAACATCTCAAAAGATGGGCAGGGGATGTGGGTGGGGAGGTGCCCGACACGGCCACAGCCCAGCAGAGGCTGGTGGTGGAGCTGCATCTGTCCCTGTTCTCTGGTCCCTGAATGTTTGGGGTCCATTATGTGGCCCTGACCACCATCTTTGCATCAGCTGTGTGTACAGATGGGGAAACCAAGAACCAGAGACGCAGACAGCACTGCCTGATGCATTGTGGGTGTCCCGAGGCTGGGCTGACAGGCCGGGTGGAAGCAGGCACTGGGGACCCGGGAGCCGCCAAAGCAATGCGGGCATCTCACTGGGCCCTCCCTCCCCTGCAGGATGAGTACCAGTTCTGTTACCAGGCGGCACTCGAGTACCTGGGCAGCTTTGACCACTATGCCACGTAAGCCATCATCCCGAACCTCGGCCGACGTTGCGCCCAGCAGGATGACCGAAGCCCAAGCGCAGTCACAGGAGGGGCCGTGCGCCAGTTCCTGGGGGCACACGTGGCCACAGGGTCCCCGTCACACATCACCGGCGCCTTCTGATACTTGGCACATTCCTTATTTCCTTCCAATTCCAAAACAAGGTTCCCGGATGAGTGGGGAGCGAGTGGGGGTGCTCCTTGCCAGGCTCCCTGCTCTGTCCAACCCGGGGACACCACATTGGGGACAGAATCAAACTTTCTTTCAAAGCTCAAGTGACTGTATCGGTGACATTGTTCTCTTTTTTTCTTTTTTTTTTTTTAAATAGTATATTTTTTCCCTCAACATTTTTTAAAGAAACAATAAGTCATGCCCATCAACAACTCTTAAAAAACAAGTTTGCCAACTGTCAAAAGACTATTTTTTCACGGAGAGTGGCTCGTGTGACAGCCATGTGCAGCGCTGACCTCTGAGCACGTGTTGCTTTTCCCTCCTGTCAGACGCTGTTCCTCATTCCTGTGTGAACCACACCTCCTTTTCTGTTTTTTTTTCTGCCATTTCTTTTTTTAAAAAATCAAATCTTTAGACATATCAATATAGTTCCAGAGGGGGAGGCTGCAGGAGTACTTGGAGACATGGCCACCTAGAACAGACGTGGTGCCTGGACACACATGCCCAGCGTCCCAGGGAGAACCAACACCAGGGGGAGCATTCGGTGGACACACAGCCTGCGTGCCCCACACAAAGGACCCTGTCTCCCAGGACTGCAGGACATTTGGGGGACACACAGGGGCCAGGTGTCCTCCCGTCCTGCCCTGAGAAAACACATCTTTTTCTTTATACAAGAACAAATCAGTTGTTCCCAAGCGGCTCACTCACGTGAAGGCAGTGGGTGGCGCATCCGCCTCTGTATGTAGATAAACCAACTTTGTATTAAAGGAAGATTCGTCCGATCCAGCTGGCCGAGACTCATTCTTTGGCCATTTCACCAGTCTGGTCCTGGCTGAACCCATGGTGGCAACCTAGGGAGGGGACAGACAGAGGTGACGATGGCCAGAGAGGTACCTGTGATTCTCCGGGACATACTGCACCTGTGGCTGGGGAGATGCCGGGTGGGTGATATGGAGCCACACAAGCATCAGGACCTGAGCCTCAATCCCCAGCACCCCACGAAAAGCTAACTCTGGGGGAGCCTGGCATGGTGGCTCATGCCTTTGATCCCAGCATTCGGGAGGCAGAGACAGGCAGATCTCTGTGAGTTCAAGGCCAGCCTGGTCTACATAATGAGTTCCAGGACAGCTGGGGCTACAAGGAGACCCTGTCTCAAAAAGACCAAAAAAAAAACCTAACTCTGGAGGCACATGCTTGTAACCACAGCACTGGGGAGGGGAGACAGGTCCCTGTGACATAGAACAGCCCCTTGGCCTCCCCCTCAGAGGGAGGGAAGGAGCAGGTCTGTGCTGGGCAACCCTGAAGCGCTGGGTCCTTAAGTAGTGAGGGAAGTGTGCTGAGCTGGGAGCCAAGATCTCACACAGGCAGCTCTGCCCCAAACGCCTTGGTCCTCAAAGCCCAGTTCTAAAAACTCCCTTAAGGTATCAGAAACAGGGCAGACTGGGCCCCATGTCCATCACCAACCAAACATGAAGCTTAGAGAGGCTGAAGTGTGTGAAATAATGGAGGGTTGGTAGAGGGAGAGAGAAAGGCTGCCTAGAATCCCCAGTGAGGGACTGGGGGCATTTCTCCATTAGTGCTTCTCTCTAGATCTCTCATTGCCTGGGTCACGCTTTCATGGCTGTATAATAATCTTTTGTGTGAACTTAACATGGTTGGGACATTGTGCTATTGGTGAGCTACAGGCTGTCTTAGGGAAACTCATTTGAATATTCTCATGGTCCGGAAATAATATGGAATGTGCACAGGTGATCCCTGGCTGCTTATGGTCAACATGAAGCATCCTCAGTCCATTCCAGTCACACTGTTACCTCTGGTGAGTGCTGTGCACCTGTTACAGTACAGCTCCATATTGACTTTTTTTTTTTTTTTTTGGTCTTTTTGAGACAGGGTATCCCTGTAGCCCCAGCTGTCCTGGAACTCACTATGTAGACCAGGCTGGCCTTGAACTCACAGAGATCCGCCTGCCTCTGCCTCCCGAGTGCTGGGATTAAAGGTGTGCGCCACCACGCCCGGCCTCATGTTGACGACTTTTACCAATGCACATATTCTGAGCATATTTAGGGTTACTGGGTAAGCAGTGATATCCAGTACATTAAGTTCACTAAAGTTATTTTTGGTTTTTGTTCTTTTTGGAGACAAAGGCTCAAATCTATAGCCCAGACTGTCATGATCCTCCTGTCTTGGCCTCCCATGAGCTCTGGGATTAAAGGTATGTGACAGCATGTTGCTAAATGCATTTCAATTTATGATATTTTCAACTGACGCTGGGCTTTTTAAAACATAATTTTATCATAAATTGAGAAGGCCTGTTTTGTGCCCCCAAAATTGGATTATTATACAGCAATAAAAAAGTGAATGATTAAAATATCAGTCTATCTTTTGGCCCTATTTTCTTTTTGTTGTTCTTTGAGATTTTTTGTTTGTTGAGACATCTCCCTGTAACCCCAACTAGCCTGAAACTCATTAAGTAGCCCAGGCTGACCTCAAGCTCACAGAGATTCTCCTGCCTCTGCCTTCCAAGTGCTGGGATTAAAGTCTGTGCCACCACTCCTGGCATCCTTTTTTTGTACTTTTTTTTTTGTCTTTTTGAGACAAGGTCTCCCTGTAGCCTCAGCTGTCCTGGAACTCACTATGTAGACCAGGATGGCCTTGAACTCACAAAGATCCACCCGCCTCTGCCTCCCTAGTGCTGGGATTACAGTGTGCACCACCATGCCCAGCTGTGGCTAACTTGAAGTCCCAGTCCTCAGGAAGGCAGATTTCCATCAACATAAATTTGTTTCCTGTATATTTATTCCCTATGGTTCTGTTCCTCGTCCATCAAATAAAGCTCTGTATCTGGAATTAGATCTCTGTAATTCGAATTAAAAAGCAATGTAGGGGCTGGAAAGATGGCTCAGCACTGACTGCTCTTGTAGAGGACCCGGGTTCGATTCCCAGCACCCACATGGCGGCTACAAACTGTCCTTAACTCCAGTTCCAGGGGAATCCGAAGCCCTCTTCTGACCTCCGTGGCACTGCACAACATGGGTGCACTCACATACATTTAAGCAATAAATACACTCATACACATAAAATTAATAAAATAAAATATTTCAAAAAATGTAGATTGGGGAATGGCCAACTCCATGAACCCCCAGACATCAGTCTTAGTGGCGCAGACCGGCAACTTGGGAGGAGCTATGCATGAGCACAGTGGACTGAGACCACCAGGCAGCCCAGAACTGAAAATGGTTATTTAAAAAGAATGACTCTCAAAAGCCGTTTCTCTGCAGCTTATCCTGTAACCTCTGAATTTATTAAAGTCCAGGAGAAAGCTGAGAATTCTAATTTTTTTCTTTGCATTTCAATTGGGACAGACAATGGGGTCCTGGGCTGGTGCTGGGCCCCTGAGGCCCCTCAGACAAAGAACCTGGGCTGGACTCACAAAGGCAGCAGCTTCCAGGCTCTGTCCACTCAGCCTGCTGGCTGCTCCCCCGACCCCTTTGCAGCCACTCCATGGCTGGGTGCATTTTCCGAATACCCAGCCTGGCTTTGCTTGGGGTCCCCCAACCTCCACTTGTGTTCCAGCTCCTGTACAGGGTCCTGTGGTTGCCTTAACCCCCTCCTTTCCACTGGGAGCCTCCAGCCTCACACAGGGCTGGAAGCACAGCAAGCTACGGCCTGCACAGCACTAAGATGTCACTTCTGCCAGGGCATCACACCATTATCTGCAGATAGCCCTCAACAGCATCCCCAAGCTGACCTGTGTCCACAAGGATGGACACCCATCAGAGCAAAAGCCTGTTATCACAGCAGTCTGGTGCCAAGGCGGAAGAGTCAGGAGTTCAAGGTCAGCCTGACACAAATATCAAGGTCAGCCTGACACATATATCCATATATATGTATGTGTGTGTGCATATATATATATATATATATATATATATATATATGGAACAGAGAAAGGCAAACATGTAAGGCTATCATACAGCTACAAAAAAGATAGAGGTTCCATTGGAATATCATATAGCCATTAACAAGGTACAGCATGGTGAGACCTTGAACCATAATGCTTAGTGAGAGACCCAGATATGTAATTCCACATGGTGTGGGACTCCATGACAGGAAAAGTCCAAAACAGGAATCCAGAGTCAGGAAGTATGCTTGTGGATGCCGGGTTGGCTGTGGAGGGGACAGGGTGACAGCTCATGGGCATAGTGACCACTTTGCCAGGACAGTGTGTTCTAGAATTGGAAGGGTGGTCATATAATTCTCTGAATATGTCTAAAAAGGAAAAAACAAAACCACAACAGTTAAGTACTAAGCTTTACCCTTTCCCAAGGACATCGATGTAAAAAATTAAGACAGTCTTACTTTGTAACCCAAGCTAGCCTAAAACACACAGTCATGCCCCTGCATCAGCCTCAGCTTTTCTTTCTTTTATTTGGTTTCTTGAGACACGGTCTCACTATGTAGCCAATGATGTCCTTCAATTCACCGTGTAGCCGAGGATTACCTAGAATTCGTGTGTGTGTGTGTGTGTGTGTGTGTGTGTGTGTGTGTGTGTGTGACAGTCTCCATGTAGCCCCCAGCTAGCCTGGAACTTTCTATGTAGACCGGGCTGGCCTTGAACTCACAGAGATCCGTCTGCCTCTGCCTCCCGAGTGCTGGAATGAGAGGCGGGCATCACTGCACCAGGCATGAATTCCAGAACTGTAAATGGAAGGTTCAGGTGGGCAATGGAGACAGCCAGGCTCAGGATGGGGGGAGCTTTATCTCCTCATTGTTTAATTAAGAATTCCTGAATACCTCACTCCATCTTCCCCACCCTGACTCAGGACAGTCTGTGCCAAGAGTACACAAATAAATTCCCATGTAGTCCATGAGGAATTTCACACAATTAGTCCAAGCAGATGATGAACACAGATATCAGAACCTTCTGGTAAGAGTGTGTTTCGATTAGAGAAGAGCTGAGCTGAGGGCTCCAGGGAGCCCACGGAGCATCTGGAAAGAGCCACAGCCGATGTCCCATGGTGGGGGCTGCAAACATGAGTCTGGTTGAGGACAGGTATTGGGCACCAAATGTATGCAACAGCCATGTGAAGGTGTAAGAACACAAGGTGGGAGATAGGATCCGAGATCAATATGAATGGAGGTTTGACTTAGGGTAGAGTGACAGCCTAGAATCCCCCAGTGGCTCAGGGTAGAGTTACAGCCCAGAATCCCCGAGTGAGAGGCTGGGGGCGTGGCTCAGGGTAGAGTGACAGCCTAGAATCCCCAGTGAGGGGCTGGGGGCGTGGCTCAGGGGTAGAGTGACAGCCTAGAATCCTCAGTGAGGGGCTGGGGGCGTGGCTCAGGGGTAGAGTGACAGCCTAGAATCCCCAGTGAGGGGCTGGGAGCGTGGCTCAGGGGTAGAGTGACAGCCTAGGATCCCCAGTGAGGGGCTGGGGGCGTGGCTCAGGGTACAGTGACAGACTAGGATCCCCAGTGAGGGGCTGGGGCCATGGCTAGGGGGTTCCTCGTCCCTGTTTTTGGCTTAATGGCCCCCCAGCACCTTCCAACCAAATAGCCCTGAGCCTGACTCACAACTTTTAATTCGTTGCCCCTGTAACACACACATATGAGTGTTCTATATGATTTGATTGAATTAACTAGTCCCCAAATAGCAGCCTCCTTCAGGCAAAGAAAAAGAAACAGAAAAATGCCAGGTTGGCATGCTTCATCTTTTAAAGACAATTAACTCTCCGTTATTAGCTTTTAATTAGGGGGTAATAACGTCCTCATTAATATGCATCATTATA